AAACACCCTCCACTTGCGGTCATAAAGAGACCTAGTGGAGGAAGCTCTTGCACTCTGAATAGTGTTTATCACCTTCTGCGGGAGACCCACTGCATTCAGATTATACCACTCACGGGCCAGGCACATAGGGGCCATGCGCTCCGGATGTGGGTGAAAGATCGTCCCCCCCGCCTGAGACAATATGTCTCTGCGTAGGGGGAGCTGCCACGGCTGACCGCACAGCAGCTGATATATCTCCGCCAGCCAGTACATTGCAGGCCAGTGCGGAGCTATCAGGATCATTGTGTGTCACCGTTCCCTCACTCTGGCCAGAGTTGGGGGTATCAGCGCCAGGCGTGGGAACGCGTACAGGAGGACCGGAGGCCAAATGTGCGCGAGCGCGTCCACGCCTAATGGTGCGTTTTGATCGCGCATTGAAAAGAAAAGCTGACAGTGAGCATTTTCTTTTGATGCGAACAGATCTACCGCGGCTCGGCCGTAACGCACCCACAGCTGGCTCACAACCAAAAATATTTTTGCGTATTTGCAGACCGTTTTACACTTTGCAAATGTATTTGTGAGTTCGCAAATCTTTTAAATGCATTTGTGGATGGTGATTTACATTTACAAATCACATATTTACACACAAATTATTTTTATGTTCACACAAATAATTATGAGACATATCTAAGCCCATAAATGTATCATATATTTCCTTATCTGAGTCAGCTTATTGAGCCGTATCTGGCCGTGCAACACTTACAGTGTCACATACTGTATGCAGAAATATTATTTTAAGCAACACATTAAGTTGACGAAACACTTGAGTCAAATGTAATTAAAATCAGATCCACTCGTGTCTTGGACGGGGCAGTGATATCTTAAACCTGTTAATAATAATAATAATAATAACGAATAAATAACTGAATGAATGAATAAAGAGAGAAATACAATTATGAAACATTAAATGAATAGTAAGAACAAGCTAAAAAGTGAGTTTATAATAATAATAATAATAATAACAATATAATACTAATAACAACAACAATAATACTTATTATAATAACAATTATAATTATATAAAAAATTATTAAAAATATTATTATAATATAATAATACAAATATATAAATACTACTAATACAACTAAATGTAATTTGTAAAATATCTAAACAAAATGGCTTAAATATTACAGCGACAGGAACATTGCATATCAACTTGTGCTCTAAAATTATTATTTATATATCTGAATACTTACATTGAACATTCAGAGCCACAGGGGCAGATCTGACCGTGTCCTGTCCCTGGACGGTACAGTAGTATCTCCCAGCATCCTCTCTGGTAGCCTGGAACCCCGGCTGTGGGACAGGCTGTCCGTCTCTGAACCAGAGGATGTTGACCGGTGTAGAGCAGCCCGACACACAGGACAGACGGACCTCCCCCCCCTCTGTCACTGTGCTCGGCTCCACCACTGTGGTCAGCTCTGCAACAGAATCATAATGTCACAAAAACACATTTAATTTATGAGGAATGTATCCTTCCTTGATTAATAGTTATTACCTCTTACGGACAAACGAGCCGCTCTCTTGCTTGTCCATCTGTTGATTGTTGTCACGAAATTGAAAAGGTATGCTCCTTCATCATCGTGCTGTACATTATTGATCCGCAGACGGCAGTCACCCCTGTAGTTGCCCACATAGTTAAAGTATGCTGAGTTCAGAGGGAGCTTTGAGAGGATAAAATGCCCCTGACGGAGTCTGGACCAGCCCACTGACGTGACCCACCGCCCTGAAGGATAGTCGTACTGACAGTCTATGATCACTGACGACCCTCTCAAAGCACACTGATCTCCAGAGGTCACCCCCCAGTCCCCACCCTGCACACCTTTGGGCAAAAATAAAGAAAATATACAGTCAATTGAATTATTAATTTGCTAATAGAATCCATAAAATACCCAAATGTGGGTGTGTCTTACTTGTCAAATGTAACTGTTCTCAGCAAAAGTTGCATTTGATCACAGTCAATACTTTTTCTAAACATTAATACAATTAAATAAAAGGTCCCTTACCTGGCAAAATTACCAGAATTATCAGAATGAAGCTTTCCATGATTAGTTAATCTGGAACATCATAGCACAGGACACAGATTAATATTGTCTAATTACAGGTGAGGACAATGTAAAAAAAGAAACGTATAGTGTATCAAAGTTAGTAGTACTCACCAGTTAAAGCAAGAAGAGATATTACTTTGTACATTCATGAGGATGATTTAAGGAGTGAAAAAGAGGAAGTGGGAGAATGTGGACGCCCTGTTTCCTCATGTATTATCGTCATAACAGTACATACAGTTACAACAATTTACTAGCTTCACACAAACACCAGTAATTCAACTAGCAGTGGAACCATTTTAACAGTGGCCTGCTGGTTATTTAACTATATCCATATTGTTGTTGCGTTTCAAGTAGTTAAATTACTTTATTGAGTACTTACCTACTTAAACTACAAACACATTTGGGCCATAAAAGGAAAGGAAATCTCTTAACTTTTTTATTCTACCACTGCTTCTCTGATTACCACTTCATTGATTGTGTCCATTGTTTAGAACCAATTAGCGTTCAAGCTTTTCAAAATGTGTTTTTATAAAGATGGAAGCTGCAGATTGTTTAATTGCTTTTCTTATTTTCTCAAGAGTGTACATGTCAGAGTAGATTATATTAGATGTATTGTCCCCAGGGGGGAAATTAATTTTCACAGCACTGTACACGTAAGCAATATACATACAATATATAAACAACAATAATAACACCTGACAACAACAGATAGCGACACACATGGCAGATACACTCAGCGAGGCCTGTTATTTAAGACAGGAATGGCTGACAGAATCAAGCTTTTTCCAATGTTCTGTACCTACGCCCCGATGGCGGTGGGCCGAGGTACTGGTTGAGTGGGATGTTACCCACTTGGTGGAAAGTAACAAAGTACATTTACTCAACTACTGTACTTAAGTACAATTGTGAGGTACTTGTACTTTACAGCTTTTGGTACTAGTTACTTTTTAGGTTTAGAATATTTGTTAATTCATAATATAAATCAATTATTAAATACGCTTTGACATTATGTATAGTTTAAGATATCCAGCAGCAGTATATACAGTTATTTAAATGAGCTCTACCTTTACCAGTTGGGATAAAAACACATAAATCTCCATAATAGTTACCCAGTAACTCAATAAATGTACAATTCTGAAATGGGACATTACGCATAATGAGTACCTTTACTTACTGGACACTGTGGTGATACATAGAAGGTTTCTTAGTTACAAGTAATTAATTATATGCTAAATATATAAAACTGAGGTCACTGCAGTGCAACAGAGCTTTTTCTGAATGATATGCTGGTCTTGCATCGTCTTGGGCAACACGATCCCTCCTCCTCCACAGGGTGGTGTTCCTGGACTGTGCAGGAGATGTAGGACATGCAAATCACTGGTGGGGTTACAATAAGTAACTGGTGAATAAATACAATACCTTATTAAATATGATATGACCATGCTTGAAGAAGAGAGAAACATTGCTCTTATAATAACATTGCTTCAACGTCTTTCGGACAAGATACCGTAAACTGTACGATTGACAGTTTAACACTTCAACAATGCAGCGAGCAGCTGATCGGCATTGTTGTGAAAATGTGATAGTAAAATAGTGAAACCCCCCTGCCCCATATTATCAATCACAAGGGATGAAATAGTGAATAAAAACAGATCAATAACTGGATAGCTTTTTTTGGAGTAATATTGCAATAGATTTATTTTTGCTATAAACAGGTATAAAGATAGATATAGATATTAATGGCAGGTGTAAATTAGAAACCAAAAAGAAATGGAAAGAGAAAAAGAAATGAGGAAGCAGGCGAAAGAGAACTTTTCCAATGTGATATTAATGCTGTGGACTTTTCACAGAATAAAGTGAAAGTGCATTCTTGTGTCTTTTGATAACATGACTTTATTGCCTCAATGTTTCTTGGTTAGCAATGCTTAATAACCAAATATGATCACTGTCAGGACTGCATGTCTTATTGTAAATGTTTTGCATACCAAAAACAGATAACATTGGCTGTAATTACTTTTATTAAAAATCAAAACTAAGTTAATTAAGTTGGCATGGCATACATGGTCGATTGAATGAATGTTAGAATGAAATGAAATAATGTATTCATTTTAATGATTGAGATTCATACCTAACCTTTAACCCTTGCATTAGTCATCAGTGCTGTTGACTGTTTATTAACTGCAGCCATTGCAACATACACCTAAAATAAAAGAGTAATAGATTTGTTCTACAGTGTAACAAAGTGAATGTAATTGTACATTATTTCTGTCATTGAGACTGATTCAATGGAAGCAATCTATATCAACTGAATAGGTGTTGCAGCATTAGCAAACAAATAAGCCTGTTACATTTAGAACATGGTTGAATACAATGTGGAAATGCATATGTGTCAAATATTACATATTGTGTATAGATGTCGAATCCTTTTCAACAGGTTTCTTCCAATAATATGTATTGAAGTATAATTGTTTTCGTATGTTTGAATACACATTGTTTTGACTTTTCATTGGTCAGAGCCAGGATGCAAAATCAACGCTAGCAACGGTACATATATACTGTGGATATGGATGCAAGCAGTCTGAGTTCTGCTTCATCAGGCAGCATACAGTGGGAAGATGCATAGAAAAAAGGCAAAGACATGCAACACGGTCAGGATCTGGACTCCCAGTGTGCACCATGTTAGTGAACTGCAGAGGATCCATGAGGACACGTCTGACCCAGAACAGTTTAGGTATCATCAGAGTTCACCACGGGTGTGTCCTACGATGTGAATGTGAAGTACTGAGCCTTCACATGAAGAAGTGTTGTACAGCTGAGGAAGAAGAAAGGAAACATCTGAGAATAAAAAATAAAGTCACTTTAGAATAGAACACAATTAGCAGCATAACAGAGCCATTGTAGGGGTTCGGGGGGGCGGTAAATTATTGAAAAATAGTTTCCAAGATTATAGATATTAAATTAGATCTGAAATTGAAATGGTCAATTAAAAAGAAAAAACTCACAAAATGTATAAAACAAGCAGACGCTGCTTTTGAATCTACCTCAGAATATTACCAACCTCCCTCCCCGCCCTGTCATCTTTTTTATTTGTTTAGCTACAATGTCTCCATTTCACTACATTTAGTGCAGATCAAATGTTTCAGCTGTTAACATTTTCTTTTGGTGTGTATTACAGCATGGATTGGTTTTTGCACCTTTTAGACTCTTTACAGTTGGTACAATATCATTTGGGTCGTATTTGTGTTTTATTTTAGGGGCTTATCTTTGCTGGATTATTTTGAAACTACTATTTTATCACCACATAAGAGAGTCCTACTGTATTAGTGTAACCATACCATTTGAGTGCATTTGACCTGCACACTAACATCTTGAGATATCTAACTATCCAAACTCAGATATGTATATGTATATTTAGATGATCAACGCTTTACCTTGTTGTGATATCTTGTTTTAACAGTTACAATATCATTTTATTTAGAATTTTAGTATTATTTTTGTTTACCTTGTTTTTTTTTTTTCAATCTCACTCTGTTGCTTCTTCTGACTCCTGGATTTCCCACTGGGATTATTAAAGGTCCATTTATCATATTTTACACATTCCCTATACACGATCTGTAAACATATGTGGACCATTTCAAGTAAAAAAAGACATACTAAATTGGAAAAAGTGTATCCATATGGTAACTTAACAGAGAGTTGTATAGTGTTATACCTGATTTTCCTCTTTGTTGCTCCCAGTCAGCGGAGAGGCTGCTGCAGTAAAGTGTAAACGACGTTGGGGGAGTCCTTGGGCTTCCTCTCACCCCCCAGTGGCAGGTTGTGGATCTGCACCTGGTCCACGCTGAAGAAACAGCATCAACAAACTGAACCATATGAGCTCCTCTGTACATCTGACTCAGATCAGATCATAAAAGCAGCTCCAGAACCATTCAAATGTTTTCGAATGTCTGAAACCCGGGATGAAAAATGTATTGTCCTCTCATAAACGAGAGGAAGGTGTTGGATATCGGAGAAGAAAGGGAGTGAAGACGGAGGAAAAGACAAAAGGTTTAGAGAGAGCATGTGATGACATGAAGATAAAGAACAAACCGATGTGGTTGTAAAATATAATGCCAAACACAAAACGTAGATTGCTGCTGTGGCCAACAACTCAAGACACATGGTGTGAGAGAGAGAGAGAGAGAGAGAGAGAGAGAGAGAGAGAGAAGGAGAGATGTAGTTCAGAGGTCAAGAGGAAGTGGCAGAGATGGAGGCAGAAGGTGGTTACCTGGACAACTTGGAGTAGTGGACAGTGATGTAGTTAAGGGCGGGGCTTTTAACTTCTGTGATTGGTGGAGCATCTTTCAGAGGGACGATAGCGGGATGGCTGTCACTCAAGTCCTCTGACTCCTCCTGTACACACACACACACACACACACACACACACACACAGAAAAGAGAAAATGAATGGGTGTTTTTTAATCAATAGCTTTTAACAGAGAGTTATTGGATAAATAAAGCCTGTTTTTAAATTGTTTAAAGAAAATCAAAAAATTAGGCATCATTATTATTACATTATTAAAGTTATAATAAATAAGGACTGTACCTTGTTTGCTACTTCTCCTGACTCCATGTCCACCCTGTGCATGTTCTTACTGTAAAGAAGGGGACAATATTATCAAAGCAACGCCAAGTTGTGTCTATTAAAGCAGGAAACTGGTGTTTTTCTTTGTGTCGTGTGGAGGAATACAGAAATAGCCGTTAAGTAAACATGAGTGTACTTCCTGTCACCTGATCATAATGGCCACAGTGAGAGTGATGAGTCCAGCAGACACCCCTACTGCTGACGCCAGGGCGATGACCTTAAGACGACCTGTCAGTGGGAGGACAACAGAGGTTATCTACATGACTAGGAAGCAGGAAGAAAAGAGGGGAAGTTAGATTATTAAAAATAGAAATGCGATGGATACAGAAATAGAAGCAGAGAAAGTGGGCCGTGCATCATCCTGCAAGCGTCTAGACTTGTGTTTCCAGTTCTGATTTCCAAACCTCACTCCACTTCTTCTGCCTTCGTCTAGACTCAAATAGTCGTTTTCCACAACACCTCATCACCCCCTTTTCCTCTCCCCTCGTAGCGAGAGGGCTTTACATGACTCACTATGACTCATAGCAAAGCAGTCAGAAACCATGAGGCCGTACACAACCAGAGCCCGGACCTAATGCTGCGATAATGACAGGGAGGATTCATCACTCATCATGTCAAACACACAGGAACTCATCCCAACGTCCCTCAGAGTAATACAGCTGATAGTCAGACACACAGATGTAAAGATGGGGCGGGGGTGTTTCACTTAGCTTGTCAGTGACACCTGATCTCCCCCCTTTCCATTTTTAATGTGACAATAGCATGCACAGGGACAGTACAACTACACTTAACACAGGGAAACGTTTTCAGCGGATGAACAGATGAAATGCTAAAGGCCTCCAGGCAGTGTGAATCTGACTCTGACACCTTCACAGCTCAAAATAAGAAATCCATTGTAACATATTTCGGTTTCAACTCTTGCTATGATATCATTGAGTTCATATCAAAAACCAAAAGCAATTCCTTTGGTGCCGTGCCATTGTTCAGAGGGTCAATTATTCTAAAAACCCAGTAGTTCCAAAAATGTAAAAAGCACATTTATAGGGCAGACTCATTGTCCCAAATAAAAAAACAAAAAACGCTATTGTTCTAAAGTACTGTACCCACATGGCTTGTTATTATGCAGGATGATGTATGATAACCAACCCAACAATTGAAACACACTGTAAGCACTTTTCTCCTCCGAACTAGGGTAGCCTGTTCATTGAATATAGAGGAGGATAGTGTTGAAGCAGCCACTCTGAATGGAGCCTTTGCAAAATATTATAAAATGACAGAATGCTTTATACTGTATATCCGGTGGAGAATTGGGTTTTGGGGCAGTTTCTGCATTTAAGAATTAAATAAATATAGTAAAACAATTAAGGATAAAACATTCTTATATAAACCTGCAAAATATAAGTAATATTTTGCAATAAAAAGATTAAATAAAAATAAAAGATGTCTTCAAAAATAATAATAATAATAATACATTTTATTTGTAAAGCACCTTTCATTGCTAAAAGCAATCCCAAGGTGCTAAAATACAAATTTAAAGTAAAAATGTAGCCTTTTATTAAACTTGTGTTTTTAATTACTGTATGTATTGTATGCCCCTTGTAGCACTTTGGGATTGCTTTTAGAAATGAAAGGTGCTTTATAAAATCAAATGTATTATTATTATTATTATTATAAATGTGCACATCTTAGAATGTAAAACATGCATATTAAAATATATGTAATAGTGAATTAATAATAAGATACTCACGCTGAATTGCACAGTTTAAAAGGGTTTAGCTGCTGACGGTGAAGTCATAGTGCCAGTCTTTTGAGAGCTCTTAGATTGATTATGTCATTCCTAACATAGCTTTCATATGAATTGTGTTAATTTTAAATAAACGGATAATATATACACATATTTTTCCCATTTGTCCTGGACTTTGAAATCCAGCAGTATCCAACCCAGACCATGATGAGATAAGCTGAGGATAAAGTGTCCATCATGACGTACCTCTGACCCGCACAGTGAGGACAGGAGAGCTGTGGGCTCCGATCCGATTCCTGGCCTCGCAGTAGTACTGACCGCTCTCTCTGGGGCCGACCTCTGAGAAGGAGAAGACGGGACCGGACCTGCTGCCCCAGGCTGCCGGGGAACAGAAGGCTATGTCAGAGGGTGTGGAGGGGGGCAAACAGACCGAGGCACACAGAGCACGACGCCTTACCCACTACAAACATTCAGTTAGGTATTGATGATTTTGTAATGTTAACCTTGAGTGGAACCACATTTTTACGATGCTAACATTGTACAGGGCCCCCGTCCAGAGCTAAGCGGTGCCACGTGAAGTTGTCCACTGCTGGGTTGGCCTGGCTGCTGCAGGTCAGGGTCAAAGGTCGGCCGGCGTCCACCACACCGGAGGGACGAGCCAGAACTGAAGTGTTCTTAGGAGGGTCTGCGGAGAGGAACAGAGGGAGAGTACAGAGGGCTAAGGGAGGTGTAGTCTGAAATGATGTTGTGCAAAGAGAAGAGCTAAAAGAGACTGAAAAGAAGGCGCTGGCAAGACCGACAGAAACTCAGGGAAGGAAAGAAGAAGGAAAGAGTAGCACTTAGATCTTTTACCTACATAAAAGTAATAATACCACTGTGTAGAAATACTCTATTAAGTAAAAGTACAGTACTTACGTAGTTATTTTTCCAATACTAAGAGTTGTGTCACTGTAACTGAGATACACATTAGTAATATCCATAGTAAACACAGGCAGTACTCACAGAGTATAGAGAGCGTGGCGACGGGGGAGGTCTGATGTCCTATGTGGTTCCACGCCGTGCAGTAGTACTGACCAGCGAGGTGAGCACGCACTGAGGGGAACGTCAGGTTCTGGAAGCTTCCTTTAGACAGCAGCTGGTCACCTAGGATACGATACCAGGCATACCTGCAGGAGAGAAGGTAATGAAGATGATGATGGAAACAATGATGACGTTGGAAATGGTAATAGAACGGTGACGCTTGTGCTGCATGTCTCTTCTGCTTGGGGCCCCCAGAGTGTCTTGCAGTGCCACTGTATATTATATAGATGTATTGTTTTAGTTTAAATTACATAACAGTATAAAACATAGTTAAGATGGTCTTTTTTATCAAATCCTTCTTACACAGTTATGCATTTACTTAAAAATAAAAACGGATAATATGGGGACACTAACAGGGGTCATTGGGCTGCCGAATGAGTACTTTTGGTATTTTAAATACATTGTGCTGCTTATACTTGTGTACTTCTAATTCAGTAACATTCATAATGAAGGGCTTTGACTTGCAGTGGAGTATTTCTCATAGTGAGGTTGAGTTAAGTTAAGATCAAGTCTGAATTAAAAACATAAGGAGATTAGAAGGAGAAAAGAGAACATTTGAGGAGGACAAAGGCAGAAATGATGATAATGATGAAAGAAAACAGGCAAGAGGGTCAATAAGGATCATGATAAGAAAAACAATATCAGACTCATGTATTATTTGGAAAAACGGAATAACCTCAAGGAGTTCAGTGGTGGTCCTACCTGCTGGCAGGAGGGTGGGCTTGGCAGACGCAGCTCAGGTTCACAAAGGAGCCCTCTCTGATATCTGCTGCAGGACTCACCAGCACACGCGTGTTCTTTGGAGAGTCTTAACATGCAGAGAGGAAAACAGAAGCAACATTACCACCATGTTCATGTTTTTATTTGACATTTCAGTTTCAGTTTGTGTCACTTACACAATGACAGAAGATTCCCTTCTAGTTTAAAATAGAGTTGTTGCCTAATCAGTTCAACCCAGACTAACCTTTGACAGACAGAAGTTACAACAGGACTGAAAATAGAAACAGACCTAATATGTGTTAATAAAGGGTTATTGCATAATGTGATTCAGATTTCAGCATGTAGTTTGGATTCTGATGTGTGCATGAGTTTTAATTAGAGCAAGGGCACCTTCTCTGTGATAACAAAGCAAACACTCAACACACTTACAAGTGACGTTGAGTAGAAGAGGGTTGGAGCGGTCTGTTCCCAGGGAGTTGCGTGCTACACAGAAGTACTCTCCTCTATCGGTGTATCTGACCTGGGACAGACGGAGCTGAGGCCGAAAACTGTCCGGGATGCTGCCACTCTCCATGTCTGAGGAGCGGATACAGACACAGATTACACGATTAATCCAAACACTAAGTCATATGCCATATTTTCCCTCGAAGGTCATGCATATTTTTTAGCATTTCATGTTGTCCTGTACCTTTGAACCATGCAAAGCTCTCCACAGGTGGAGCTGCGTCACTACTGCAGGTGAGAGTGACAGACTCCCCCTCCGACAGACCCCCTACTGGGAAGACTGCTATGGAGGTGTAGCGGGGACTGTCTGCAGGGGAAAATAAAAGAAGGAAAAAAAGGAAGGACATTTGAGATAGAATGAAGACAACAAGGACACATAGGGAAAATGCTAGTGCAGTTTACACTATATTAAATACATTTAATAAATATAAAACTTATCAGGGCCAATAGCAGGTGTGTACAGTCCCTAAAAGTGATTTATTCTGCGTTTCTGTGATTAACCCCAAAATGTGTCTCCATCTGGTTTGAGATACACCACATAAAGCATTTTTAGATATGAGCAGGTTTTGTGAAAACTGTGCGTTTTGCTTTGTAAGAGATTACTCACATCCAAGAGCCAGCGTGAGGGGCGGGGACTGCACGTTCTGTGGTGGGATTGGTCGACAGGTGTACGCTCCAACATGCTGCTGGTCAAAGCGGTTGATGGTCATCCATTTCTCATAGGAGCCCTGGTTCAGTCCGTTCCTGTGTACAGAGCATCATATCACATCTACAGTGTTAAATATTGACAACATGTATGACTCTCTGTCTAAGTGACCACTAATACACTCATATGAATAATCACACACCTGTACAGTGCCAGGCTCCTTCCTGGAGCAGCACATCCTGTCGCCTGGCAGCCTACAAACACAGTCTCTGCAAGGCCAAACATGTTCCTGGGCCTGGCTGGATGCACCTGGACCTGCAGGTCTGAAACACACACAGACAGTCATACACTCACAAGCACACTGGGTGTTTCTCAATGTCGAGGAGGCTTGCTTGGTAGCACATGCACTTCAGAGTCAGTTGCTTCAGAAGCAAGGCAAGAATCCTTCCTAGTCTCGGAAAACAAATAATTGTGGGACAGGCTAACAGGTGTGCAGGTGTGCGTCATATGTGAGGCCCCGCCTTAAATGGAGCGTGATTTCCGCCAAAGATTTGGAAATTGGTCCGTGCGCAAAGCATTGTGGGAATTTTAAGACCGCGGAGTCTACACATGTGCAGCCTCGAAATTTCCCGCAACAAAGTACGCCGGCCTCGGTAGAATTCCAAGTATCCTGGACATTGGAACAGTCCTTCTGCGGGACTCGATGACGTAGTATCCTTGAAATAGTGGATCTGGAGCAGCTTTCCTCGACACTGAGAAACACCCACTGTCGGCTGCACAGAGCAGGATGGTCAAGAGGGGACAAAACGCGTGAATATAGATAACAGCTTTTACACTTAGATATCAGCATGAAAATTCTCCAGCTGATTACTTACTAGTTTTGCAACAATTATAAAATCAGGAATATAAATGTAGTCTAAATCCGGCCAATAACAACATATGAAAACACCCCACTGTATCAGTGGGAGGAAAAAGATAAAAAACTCCGTCGATTACCAGATACATATTCACACTGTAGCAAAAATATACCTTAATGTGTATCTGTGGATGTCTAATAGAAGACAAGGTATGTAGGCAAAATATCCGTAAAGGCAGCTTCTCTTTTGCCTGAACCTACTTGTCACATGGAGGGTGATGGTGTTCGGTGAGGTCCATCTCCCCAGTGGTTGGTCTGTCTCAAACCTGAAGTGGTACTGGCCTGCATCACTCAGCTTCACCACCCGAATCTGCACTGAGCAGCTGGAGTAGCTGCCCCCGATGTACCTGGAACCCACCATCGTGGTGTAAAACATTTATTCATTAATTCACATTCACAGCATATTAACATGCCTATATTCGTTCTCCTACCGTGTGCGTCCGCGGTACGACAGGCTGATCTCGTTCGGGTCAGTGTGGTAAGTGAACTCCCTCCGACCCTCTGCAGACACACGGAACCACATGACCCGCTTTACGTTGTGACCTGTGAAGTTAAAGAAAACCACAAAAAAATATGTAAAACGTTGTAACTCTAGATTGTTTTGAGGCTTAATATAATAGTTATAGATATTTGAAATAGCTAAGTGAAAAATAATGGATATGATACCTGATGGGTAGTCATAGCGACAGGGCAGAGTGACAGTTGTTCCCGCCCACACACAGATCTCCCTCCGGGAAAATGACACGCTCCACCTGCTCTGGATACCTGCAGCACAAACATACTAAATCCTAAACAGCATGAAAAACAAATGCTACAAGAACATACAAACATGAATAGTTAAAAAGAAGCAAACTAAAACTCACAGACAGTCTGCGACGCTTTACACTTAAACAAAGCACTACAGGCTAACAGATGGAGTCTCTACACTCTGCTTTTTTCACCATTTTCTTAATGTTTTTATGTTGGACGAGTTCAGGGATTCAAAGAAAATGAAGCATCTACTGGCTGTCACTTTGACAAAAACAGCTTGCCATATAAAATAAGCTAAGGTTTAGGGAATACATACTTGAACATTAAAAGGAGGTGTACATTTGAACTGCCCACAAGTCAAAGTTTTCCTTCAGTGTGGCTCCTCAGAGAAAGACTTGTCAAACCACAGCTTCAAGTGTGACTAATAAAATTGAAGCAGAGAGAATGAGCCTTGATGTACAGCCATGGTGTCATCCTGTGCTGCTAACTGCCTGCCTGGCTGACTACCTTGCACAAAAGGCAATCAATACTTATAAATAACTGGAGCGTAAAGGCAAGGGCACCTGGCTGCAGGAGCGTATGTGCATAATGGATCCTATAAATCACTCATTCATTTTTCAACTGTTGTTTTAAAGCATGTGTGACACATTAATGATATTTCTGGAATAAAATATAAATGTCTGATAGTTAAGGAGCTTCCAGTTCATATTAACCCCAGAAGTTGTAAGAATATTCTCTTTAAAACCATTTCACGTTATGTTTTTACACCTCACAATGAAACAAAGTCATAATTTCTGATGTTTTATTGTGTTTTCTCTTACCTGGCAAAGCTGTAAGGATGGTGCCCAGAACTAACGCACCTGCCAACATCTCCGCTGACACGAGCTCTGTAATGTCACCGGAGAAGGAGAAGCATAGAGCGACACAAAGGTGAAACCTTTATCAGGAAAAAACCGACACAATACAGCTGGTTAAATACGAAGCACTCACCCCTTAAAGTATCTTCATTCGCCAAAGTTACTCAGGAAGAACAGGGTTAGAGGGATGAATGCGACTCGATGGGTGATGGAGGTGAGTTTTTAAAGGGAGGTTGCATTGTGATGACAGTCAGGTGGCAGCAGATGGGAGGGGGAGTGGAAGGGAGAGGAAAAGGAAGAGGAAGTCACTTCAGATGCCTTTTAACCCTTAGATGCACGAGTGACTGGACCCTACACTCTTACATAAGTGGGTCAAAAAGGACCCGTATTAGAATAATATGTGTTTTTATGCCATTTTTGTAATTTTGGTTCAGAAAAATCACTAGAAATACTTTATATTTAATTTTTCACTATTTATAATTTTAGACACTTTTTTTACATTTTGAAAAAAAAGTTTTGAACAGAATTGATGCAAAGATCTCTGCTATTCTGAGACCCTCACAGTATTCCAGTCCCTTTTCAAAACTCATCTCTTCTCCTATTGTCTACTCATAGCCCACCCCCCATCAATCCATGCCGGTTGATCAAGTTTGATAGTCCTATACCACCCACCCTAACCTTCCCTTATATTGTAAAGCCCTATAAAAATATAATTTATTATTATTATTATACAGACAGGTATCAGATCTTGCTGTGTAAAATAATCTTCCTGAGAGGTGTCACTTGTGATGTAGTCTGCATGGTCTACAGTGAATGTATTCCTGACAGCAAGAGGTGATAAGAATAAAAGGTTCCCATAGGATTCCATAGAAAATGCATGCGGGTCATTTTTGACCCACTCATTGAAACTTGGGGTAGTAATAAAAAAACTTAAAATTTAAAATGCGAATGGTATGATATCCAAAACATGTTTTTGAGGAATAGCTGGAATATGAAATGATAAAAAATGTAATTACAAAGATACTTCAAGAAAACCACCTCACCGGGTCAAAAAATACCCACTTATGCATCTAAGGGTTAATACTACTTTCAACTACCTTTCCACTGTTTCTATTCCCATTTTTTCCACTTCTCCTTCCAAAACAGTCTTAAAAGGTCAATGATGTGATGACACTGGTTCCCTACGTTGTGCTATTTAGAAAATGTGACAACCCTTGTGATCATGTTACTTTCACAATTGTCTCTTTTAACAGAATTCCTCTATCAACCGATTGTTTCTGGACTTAGAGAAGTTTTCAGGAACTAACTACATGTTCTAATCTCTCAAACTCTTTGCAAGAATTACCCTCAACTATAACTATTAATAATACTATTCCTCAGTTATTCCGTAAAATATTCCACAGTTTAAAGCCACAGTTTTATGATATACCTTTTAGATCTTGGTAGTTTTTAGCAGGTCAATGATTTTGGTCATCCTCCATATTGGTCTTTATCAGAGAAACAAGCCAAGCGTACGTTTGTAGACCCTTTGGTTGGTCAAACACGAGCATAAACACTGTGAATAGTTTTTCTAATTTGTGTTGTTTCCTACTGTACCTTAAAAAAGGCACTGATGAGAGCCGTGAGAGTGAATCAAACAGTAAAATTGCACGCTGTAAAAAACAAAACTATGAGCTTAAAGTCACTGAAATGTAAGGGAACTGCAAAGACAGGCAGTGTTTTTTTACTGGTTTCATGACATGTATTTGACTCATTGTGTATACTGAACGTGCAGTAAAATATATTGCACTGTAAGGGAAGTGAATTACTCTACTCTGACACTGTCACAATGTTTGAGCAAACTCTGACCGTCATGATTGACTGATTGTTAAAAGACGAACATGTTTGGTTGATTTCTAAAACAAGTTCAGGCCTGTTGGCGTACATTAACATACATAAGCGAAGCAGACATAGACCCAGCAGCCCAGATGTCCTCTCATCTACTGCTCTAATTGAGAATCGTTGGCACGGAAAGCTAGCTACCCACAAACAGACGTGAGGAAGTTTGAGACCTCTCAGTCAACTGTGTCCACTTAGCCTGATGAGTCTAAATGACTTTAACATCCTACCCTGCCACATCTTGGCCAATAGATGTCAGTTTAGCATCCCGACTCGGCCAATTGGCTACTTACCCCAGCTCTGACCCAGGAGTAATGATGATGTACAGTTTAACTTCTCAGTCAATCTCTGTTCATAGGCATCCAAGTCAGAGAAGGGACGAGGGTTAACTTTAAGGTTTCAGAGATGAAGGCCTATATCCTCTTTATATGTTACATAAAGATAAATAAGAACACCAGGAATATATATATATATATATATATCTTTTTTTAATTAGTTATTAAGTCCTTCAAAATAACCTAACTAAATGAAAGGGATAGTTTTCAAAGAAAAGAGTGTTTAAAGTGTAGGTTGTACAGTATGACCTGCTTATAAATGGTCAGTGTATTACCTACAGCGGATGGCGGTTGTCACGCCCCATGTCGGGGGGAAACAGAGCAGCACTGGTGGCTTTGTCAAGACAGAGCATAGATACCAGCTTTTTCAACACAATGGGCTTCCCAAAAGCAAGGTAAAGTAGTGAAAATATTTGAAATGTTGTGTACATTTAAACTGATATTGAGTTTATTGGGCCTTTCTTTAGGCTATTATTTTGGCAAATATATACGTTTTTCTGACCTCCCCTTCCACACAAGTACATTATTTTCTCCTGTGATGGAAGTGACTGTTTCTACAAACCATGGGCATTCTGACCGACATCTACTTAAATGTTCCTTATTTAGAATCCCCCATTATTAGCGACTAACCTTCCTCCTCATAAAAGATACAATATTTATTCTCAGGATTTATCAACGCCAATATCAGCAACACCAACTGAAATAAAAACAGAAGGCAGGTAGATCTCTTAGAATGTTGCAACACAATGCATCTCAGAAGCATGATAAAACCCAATAATAGATGGTAAAATAGGTATGTAAAGTATATAATTGCTCAACACTTCTTGTGTGCAGTTAAATATAAGCTAAGTAAGCACCACCAAAAACAACCAACCTTAGCCTGAACTGATTTCTTCCTTAATAATTGCCATTTTTCACTTCTGAACTCCCAAACTACCACCTTAAGGTTGTGTTCTGGCATGTTCGGCTTTGTTCATTGGGCAATCAAAAGACAAGAGAGGGGTATGACGTGGAACACAGGTTCCCCGCTGGAAAAAAAACTGTGGATATTCCAATAAAGTGGTACATTATGCTTTTAACCATTAGGCAATCAGGCCGCTGTCTAAAAAAATACAATTTAGTTTAATGGGGTCTGCGTTATGTTAAATGTAGAATTTGAGCTGGACCTTAAACAGCAACCCTAATAGGAAACACTCTCTGGTTGGGAAAGTAACCTTTCAAAATGTAATCAAAATTCTAAGGATATATAGTTCAATGCACATTATATTCCAGTTCACAGATTGCTAGGTTGGATTATGGGTTGGGAACCAAAATGGGTCGCAGGCCCTCCTCTAGTGGGTCTCCACATGACAGGAAAAGTTTGTATGATTTAATGATCCTGGATCCCTGAGAAAAAAAAAGAGTAATTTTGGTCTCTGGCTGAGAAGTTTTAAGAACCTTCCCCCTCCAAATACTGTGTGTATTATGTTGAGTAAGAAGAGTGGTGGGCTTTGAGCTTAACCTGTAACCACAGAATGACTTCAAAAGGATCACGGCACACTAATAGGTCAAAGCCTGATGTAATCTTAATCGAAAGCAGACCGGACTAAATGAATGAAGAGAAACAGATGGATGGAGCTAGATTAAGTGTGACTGACCACAAACAGAAAGAGAAAGAGGGTGAGAGAGGGAGGAAGGAAAAGGTTTAAAGGGGAAGGTAGGAGAAGGTGGGGGGGACAAAAACACGAGGTAAGGTTGGAAAGAAAGCCGGAGAAAGACTGTATATGAAACGGCGGAAGTAGGGAGAAAAAGTAGGAAGAAAAGAAAGTACTAAAAATGAGGGGGAATTGTTTTAAAATGTGTGATGGGTTCGTAAAAGTAGAGAGAAAAGAGATGGAAAAAAGTGTGAGAGGGAGCAATAGACACATGTATGACAGCGTATCCAACCCTAACGGTAGGGAAGGTATCCGTCCACTGACCGCAGCCTCAGGGCCAGATGAAGTGTGACCGTCTGGTGGTCAGACTGGACCTGAAGATTTTCCGCTGTTGCAAAACACTTCCTGCCTGCTGTTTTCATGTAATGTGACCGCTCACAGTTTGCTCCCCTGCCATACTTTAAGTTGTACAATATGTTATTTCTGTGTTATTCCTCTATGCCCACAGATTAGACTTTTGGCTCTGCGGGCCCTCGAGCCTTGGACGGACTCCACAAAAGCAAATAATGATTGGACTGTCCAACATGTGTTAGTCTTCAAATTGAGTGGTGCTCTCCACGGGAGAAGTCTGGGCAAGCACGACGATGATCAGAGCTACAATCATATCTGACAAGGTGATATGTTGTTCCTGTGCTGTCTTTTAGGAGCTCCGCATGATGACTTGATGAGCAGGATATAAGCCAAGAGAATCATCAAACCAATGGGGATTAAATAAAAAGAAATAAAAAGAAAAAGAGAAAAAAGAGATGGGATTCTTTTTTGTTTAACTGTAATATCTTTAGCGATTTATACACTTGACTTTCATAAACAAGCCAAACCAAACACTTGATGAATCTTTAAAACTCTTAAATCTTTGAAACTTATTGGAGATCTATTAAATGTACCCTGGTTTTGCTCATTCTTGCCCCATTCACAAACCGTGCTGCAGGGTCAGATTTCTGCTGCTTGTCTGCCAGAGACCTGTCTGTGGCTGCTGTGGTATTCCACGCTGAATGAGTCATGTCTGGTGGTTATTATGGGCAGGCGTTTGACTACCCCCCCCCCCCCCCCC